TGGAGGGTAATTCTTTTAAGGATAATTTTGGAGGTGGCCGAAGTGAGTCGAGAAAATTTGCAAAATTCAAGAAATTCTGGGAAAATGAAGGCGATAGATTGAAGCACTCAATTTCAATTTTTTTCGTGGCTAAAGGTACTCGATTTTAATTTTTCCCATATCTGAAAATTCTCAATTCTAATTTTTCTCATATCCGAAATACTCACTTTCAACTCTTCTCACACCTGAAGATAGTCAATTTCAACACTTCTCACATCTGAAAATCCTCAATTTCTCTGGTATCTGTAATATGCAAATTTTCTCGTATCTAAAATACTCTCTATCACACCTCAAATCTCGATAAATTCCCCAGAGCCAAGTAAACAGATTTTCTTCGGAAAAATTGCCTTAGAATACCTATGGCATTCTCTCCTTCCACTACTTGACTCTTCGAATGGTTAACAAATGTTAAAAATTGCACAGTGAAGAAGAGAGTCCCTCCTCTGTTCACTGTGAACGACAAAAAGGTTTAATCGAACGAAATCGCGCGCAAAGTCTCAGGTATCCGACATTAGCATAAGGAAACAGCCTGGACAGCTCCTATGGAAAACGTTATAGGGTAGTTTCTCGTTGTTTCTCTTGGATGGTCCTAATGTCTCCGGGATAATAATGGCCAAACGGAGTCAACTGTTGTCCCGTATTATTTTATTGGGTCCGAAGATGCGGCTGTTTGACCAACAGACTTCGGGAGATTATGCGCTTTTTGTTGGGCGCAGGTATGCGATCTTTATGGCGAAAGGGGTTAGAGAGAGCAAAGGGGGTGGTCGTATTTTAACGATTCCCTCGAACCGACACAACGGACGTTTCTGCTATCAATTTTCTCTGCTCTGTTGAAAATTTTTATTAAGTTTCGTTAAATATTCAAATATCAAATACTGAAATATTAAATATGGAAATATTAAATACTGAAATATTAAATATGGAAATATTAAATATTAAAATATTAAATATTGAAATATTAATTTTCACCACTTACAAATGAATTTCATGGTATCTGGAGCATTCTGACACAAAGAATACAGATTTCATAAAGTTGAAAAAGTAAATGAATTGTTCTAACATGCATTCTGTGCCTTATTTAACGGCCAAACTTCATCTAGTTCCTTGCTCCTCCATCTCAAGCTTCAGTCCAGTCTGAAAAACTTCAAATATCCCAATATTCCCCACACTGCCCAGAATATTCACTACAACCCATCTCTCCCGAAGCATTACTTAACGACCAAAACGCCCATTACCTCACAGGCGATCCAACTACCAGGAAAGCAATAAAAACCGCAATATTAATTACACCAAGCATAAAATTCCCAAAATCCAGTCATTTCCAAAAATTCACCCTAAAACTCTCACATTAAACAAATTCCAAACTACTAATCATCTTCATTGCCATTCCCTAATCGGTAAATTCCTATCCACCCTTGGAACCACCCCCGTGAGAAATAATTGCAACTAAAAACAGTAGCAAAAATCGTTTATTCTAAAATAAACGATTTTCCTTCGAAGTACGATCGTTGCAAGTGTGTAGTTCTTCTCTGTTAGTGTGACAATTACAAACCGCGTTTAGGTCTACAGGTACGCGTTGTTCGGCCAACGAGGACCGTTCTCATTGTGATTTTAAAGGGTTTATGGAATAGCGGCCGCGGGGCCAACCTCGATGAATACAAAGGGATCAGTTGGTGATTTTGGTAATAATGTTCGTCGCTTGTTTCCGCGGATTGGATAGGGTGGAAGAGCTACCTCTCCGATAGGCAATAAATCCGAGCAATTATTGTTGCGCCCGAAATGTTTGAGAGAGGCGATTTGGCTCCTCGCGGCACCACGCTGTTTTACGATCGAGTTATTACTTCTGCGTAATTAGGGCAATTAAAATTGACGTTTAATTCGAAACTAAGGAGAAGAACGTTGCAGGAAGTTTGCAAAGTTATTGATATATTAGAGTCACAATTGAAGCAATATTCTTTTGTGTTTGTGATTCGTTTTTAATTTCGTTAAATTAGGGAGAGATTTGCCGGGAAGAAATTTCAGAGGAGAGCAAACTTTTGGGTAACTAATTTCACGTCGAAAATAACAACAATTCCATTGATTTTTGGAAAATTTGCTTTATTATCGTTTATTTTTCTTGCAAATTTTTCGAAAACTTCTTTTTCGAAAATTACTACTTTCTCGTGGGCCACAGTGACCCAGGTAATTAGAAAATTTCATTGCCATGATCGTGACGTCGTATAAAGGGAATATCGTCGAAGCATTGAAGAATATCTGAAAATTCGATATCGAAAGTTAGGTTAGGACGAACGTCGAAGTTAGATATATTAGGTTTGGACGAATATTAAAGACGGTGGGAGAGTACAACGAATATTAAAGACAGAAGGAGAGCGTAATAGCGTTAGTGTCTCAATTATTTACTGGACATTTGGCGAAACGGAAACGATGAAGTTTTGCGGCCGGTTTTTATCGCTATTGCAAATGGCGCACGCTGAGGCATCGTTCCACAGTTGTTCTCCGAGCTGTTCTGGCCGAGCTGATCGCAAATTCGAGCGTACATTATCTAACGAAGCGTTTTAATGCTCGGTCATCCGTCCGATGACGGTTACCTTGCACCTTATCGTGACAATTTTTCGCCATTTGCGTCGCGCACTACTGCAGAGTCTTCTTCTACTCCTCGCTTTCTAATATGTCCCAATTTTCATTTCTAATCTTAATTAAATCGACGACAGGAATACTTTTCGGAAAGAAAGAAATTTCTTGAGTTAAATAGAAACTGACCCACCCTTCTAATATACAGGCAAAAGTTTCTAATTATAATTTCTAATCTCAGTGAAATTGGTAACAGGGATGATGCCAATTTATCATTTCTAAAATATACTTCCTACTAAGAAATCTTTCAAATTAAAAAATTACCCTCCCAGTACACAGATAAACCGCACAAAACCCCGTAATTAAATAGATAACAGTAACGCCAACTTACAATTTCCCAAATATCGCACTTCCTACTCAGAAATTTTTTTCCCCAGAAAATGCCCCTCCTAATACACCGCTGAACCTCCCAAAACTCGTGAAAAACAAAACGTTCCATCCACCAAGCATCCATCGCGCTCGCTTCATCGTAGAAAAATCCCAGCGCGTGAGCGTGAGCGTCGTCGTCGGCTGCAGCACGCCATCCACCCCCCGGTTTACGTAATTCCCGTTGCGGAGCGCGCAAAGAGAACGGTGCACCGTTTCTGCCTAGGGAAGCGCTCTCTTACGCGCGCGCGCGCGCGCCTCATATCGTATGGTCCGGAGCTAGCTTCGCCGTCCCCTTCGCGTGGGTGGCTGCGTGCGCTCCTCGCTCTCCCGTCCACACCCACACACGCTCGCTCGTACATGCGCGGCGGCGGTAGCGAGCGACGGCGTCGCTGCCCGCTCGTTGGCATAGGTACGCCGTGTGTCTCCCCGTGGTGGGGGTAGATAGACCACGGAGAGAAAGAGAAAGGCTGACAGGCCACGGCAGCGAAGAGGGGGGTGGACGATGGGGGGTCAAGGGGGAGGGAAGGCAGCAGACAGGAGCCGAGAGGAACGATCAGGGCGAGAGAAGGAAGCACCTGGGGCGCGATAAGGATGCTCGGACTGCGCTTGCTGCTGACTCTCTGTCCTCAGAGTGGGGGGATAGAAAGAGATACACGGCAAACGTAACATCCCGCGAGAAAGAGAGAGAGAATGATGAAGGTACAAACACCACGCTTCTCCCGTGGAAAACACGTAGGAACGAGCGACTACGGCGACGCGACCGCGAGGCGGGAGAAGTTTGCCTCAGTGGTGGGGATGACCGACAGTCGCGAGAGACACGTGAGATAGAGAGGAACAGATGTATACGGTGTGTACACGCGATAAAAGAGAAAGGGAATAACGTGGTATAGGGCTACTAGAGAGAGTACCGGTGTTAATACTCACGGTACTATAGACGAGGATGAACCGATATTATGTGTACGTTGTGTAGAAGAGGAGGAAGATAAACAGGGCTGAAGAGAGAGTAGTACGTACACACCGTGTTGGCACACGGGGACCGAGAGACGCGCGTCACGTAAGGGGGAATCGAGCGTGGCGGGCGAGGGGGTGTATGTAGAGGGGTTAGTAGAAGGGCGGAAGAAGGAGGAAGCGAGCAAAG